CCCCAAAACCCCAAAACCCCAAAACCCCAAAACCCCAAAACCCCAAAACCCCTTACTCATTATACAATATTTAAACTTTAATCTCTATAAAATTAATAATATGGACCCTCAAGATATGAACGAAAACCCAGATGTCAGCGCTAATGAAGGAGAAGCTGGAGAAAAACCCCAGGACGAAGGCGAAGCTGACATCGAAGAATTCATTGAAATACTCGAAGAGCACTGTAAAAATTGTGAGAATGAAGGCAAATACGTTGAGGCTGAGATGGCCAAAAATAGGATTAAGGAACTGAAGGAGCAGAAGAAGCAGATGGATCTGGAAGAGCTTCTCAATAGACAACAAAACGAAAACATTGAGCTTGAAGAAACTCATATTTTGGAGTTTAACAATTTTAATCAAGACTGGGATAAGAGAATGAACGCTTTTCAAGTTCATAGCTCCACCTTGATTAAGGATTTAGAGCAAAAGCATATTAATAAGCATGAAGAGTGGAAAGAAAAGCTTGATGAGAGAATCCCTATCAAGTTTAAGCCTTCTTCAGAGCTGCTGAACTTGAGAAGAATTCAAATCAACCTTGCCAAGCAGAAAGAATATAAGGAAGCTCATCAAGTCCAGATCCGCGCACAAAAGCTTGAGAAAGAAGAGCAAGCCAGCTACAATGAAGATAGGAATGGAAAAATTATGAAGTCTGAAGAGAAGTTATTCCAACAGCAAGATAACGAAATGGAAGCTCTTAGAAAAAGAATTATTGCCGGTGAAAACGAACAAAAGAAGCAACGTGCACTTGAGCTTGAGAGGATGTTCCAGAGATATCAAAACGTTAAAAAGGAGTTAGAAAACCAGCACAAGATGGAGAAAATTAGACTCGAGAAAGGGCAAAGCTTTGATCCTAATGCTAGTAGAATGAGTAGAATGTCTGCTAGACCAAAGACAGCTAGTTCAAGAGGCGGTCCAAGGTCATCTGCGAAGAAAAACAGAGCTGCCGCACCACCTAGCAACTCTGGGTATGGAAGGTTTTAATAATTATGGCCATTGGATTTCAATGAAGCTTCTCTAACTAGGGGTTTTGGGGTTTTGGGGTTTTGGGGTTTTGGGGTTTTGGGGTTTTGGGG